TTATCATTATCGGTGAAGATCGCTTTATAGGGAAGTCTGTGAGGTGGCGGCTCGGAGCGCCCGTCACAAGGGCGGTGACGCTTGAGAGGGCGCTATTGTGAATCGGGTGGCACGCTTCCGAGAGCGCCGAATTAAGGAAACAAATTTGTTTTTTCTTTGCTTTTTTTATTTGCGGAATAGCGGAGACCGCGTGCCGCGAGCGCGCGGGAGTGGTAAAGGCGAGCCCTGCGTCCCAGGAGTATATAAAGCCCCGCTCCGGATGGCGGCGAGAAGAAGGTGAAGCGTCAAATGCCGTGTCGAGAAGCAGGGGCGACGCTAAACTCCCGCCGAACCCCGTGGACTCATCTCCCTCTGATCTTTTGACGAGACTCTCAGAAGGGAGATGTTGGTCTTCAGCACCTCCTACGTGCCAACCCCACCTCCTCGTGGTGTGAGTCGGAAACGCTGGAGGAGGTCGCAACTATTACTTCTCCTGGCGGCTGACGGGGCTCTGGCTTGGACTTACGCTACCCTCCCCCCGAATGGTAGGGGAGAGAGCTCAGCGGGTACCTCGTGGGAAAATCGGCTGGCAGCTTGGTGCCGTGGCGCAGAAGGCACGCCAGCGCCTCGAGCGGTATGAAATCCGCTAAGACAGCAAGCTAACGTGCTGGAGCCTCGGGGTTGCTGGCGGATTCTCCCACCTCCCTTTATTAACATAACACTACCGCGAACGGATAATCTGTTCTCATGCGGTACTCTGTAACCTTTACACCTTTCTTCCATCCCTCCTGTGAATTTCATTGCATAAGCGCGAACAGATAATCTGTTCTAACGCGGTTAAAACCTTATCCCCCCACCCGCATTTTCTCTACTCCTTAGTATTACCGCGAACAAGAAATTTGTTCTCACGCGGTTCCCGTTAAAAATTACTCCTCCCACCCTCCCTGTGAGGCCGACTGCATTACCGCGAACACATAAGTAGTTCTTAAGCGGTCCAACGTTAAAGACGTCTCTTCCTCCCCATTGAGAAAATCACCGCGCTACCGCGGACAGCTGAACTGCCCTTATGCGGTAAAGCCCTACTATTCCCCTTCCTGCGGCGGCCCGTCTCCCAACCGCCCTCTTCCCCGCAGCCCTGGCGCTGCGGTGAAGCCGGGCAGGAGCTACGTTATATACAGACCTACCGGGCCCTGCGCTTCTGTAGCTCTGCCCCAGCGGCGACGGAACCGGAGGCATTAATACATCTTTCTTTTTCAGGTTCCCTAGTTCGTTGCGGTAGCGGAACGTGTGACGACGAAACAGTGAGGCGCCGAAGGATGGCCAGCGTCTCGAACGATATTAAACCCGCATTGACAGTCGATGAACTCTCTGGAGCTGAGGTGGCGCCACCCGACCGCATCGCACAAACCCCCACTCCTCTCCACATTTCCTCTCCGCAAACCACTCCCGCATCCCACCCAAGCATTACCGCGAACACGTAATTGGTTCAAATGCGGTAAAAACCTCACTCACCCGAAAACTCCAACCACCCTAACCTCATCCCCGAGACAGATAATTTCCGTCATCTTTCTGCACACTGCGGTGCGTGGAGGCGAGCGGGAACTGTCCTTAAATTAGAACTACCGGGCCCTGCGTCTCTGTGACTTTGTTCGCAGCGACGACGAAACCGGAGTTTTCCTTTTTATTTTCAGCGCGGGCCGGCCCACCATTCCGACCCCCAAATCAAATTATTATGGGTAAATTTTTCAAAGATGTGTTGAGGAATAATGTCCGTCTGGCAGAACGCTTCCGACCAGACAGGGCCGCAACTTTGGGAGCGGGGTATACTCTGATGCAATCGGGCCGACTGGGAGAAGTTCGTTGAGAGCCTCGTCGATCTGTCCGTATCGAGACTTGAGATCCTCGATTTGACGTCTGCGGAGGACGTGGTGAAACTCGCGGATGCTCTTGCGGCCTCCCTTATGGACGCCTGTGAGAAGGAAATGCCAAAAAAAAGGCAATATAGGAAGTTCAACCTGTGGTGGACGAAAAATCTGACGATAAAAAAGAAAATCGTCTATAGGAACAGACGGGCATATCAGCAAGAAAGTGTTGAACCGACCCGCTCCGCCAAACGGAGTGTCTACCGCTCTTCTTTGCGGGAATACACCAGGGAGGTGAGGAATGCGAAACTCGAGAGCTGGTGGAAATTTGTCACGGGTCAAGGCAACTCGAAACCCTGGAGATTTGTTTATAAGCATCAGGTTGATAAGCTCCGGGTTGACAAAGTGCTGAGCACTCTCCGTAGCGGAAACTCCTCGACCGTCACCCTAGAAGAGACCGCTGCTCGCCTGCTCGACGTGCACGTGCCGGATGATCGGGAGAACGAGGACACTGCAGCAGCACGAAGTCAGAGATAGCGCACACCATGTGCCTGACACTGCCGATGACCCTCTCTTCACGGGTGCAGAAATCGCAGCAGCAGTCAGATCTCTGACCAACAACAAGGCGCCATGCCTGGATCTCATCGAGGTCTCTGTATCGAAGGTCGCATACAAGGCAATCCCGGGTCAGTTTATTAGGCTTTTCAATGGGTGCCTTCAGTGAGGCGTCTTTCCCTCGATCTGGAAAGAGGTCTCGTTCAGAGTCTTTTTGAAGGGCAAAGGCAAGGACGTGGAGGACTCCAAATCCTATAGGCCGATCTGTCTCCTCTCCGTAATAAGGAAACTCTTCGAGAAGCTTCTTCTGAAGCGACTCAACCAGATGTCAATCTCACCGGGGAAGATCTCCGATCGGCAGTTCGGTTTCACACCCGGAAGGTCGACGGAGGACGCTGTCGTGGAGTTGCGACGGATGGTCTCTGCCTCTGAACAGAGATACGTCATTGCGCTGCCCCTTGACATCTCGGGCGCGTTTGACAACGTCTGGTGGCCCCTCGTACTATCGGGATTCAGGGAGAAGAACTGCCCTCTCAACATCTTCAAAGTGCTTGTTGACTACTTCCGTGATAGGAAAGTCTCTCTCTCCTTCGGAGATATAACGGTCTCGAAGAAGGCCACCAGAGGTTGCCCGCAGGGCTCGGTGTTAATGCCCAACCTGTTGAAACGTCATGTTTGACGGAGCCCTTTCTCCTTAGGGCTCTGGAAGCCAGAGTAGGGGATGAGTTCTTAGCGTACGCGGATGATCTTCTCGTATTAGTCAGCGGTGACTCCCGCAAAGAAATAGAAATAAAAGCATAGGAAGTAGTCCACGAAATAGAGAAATGGTGTAGCTTCACCAAATTAGAGCTTTCTTCGCGAAAGACTGAAGCAATTGTCCTCAAAAGCGACCTTGTCGAAAGGGCCCCAATAGGCAGACTGGGAGGAACGCGTCCCGATCGGAAACGAAAAACGGTCAGGGTCAAAAAAGCTGACCTCGTGAGTAAGCCACCGACCATCCGATTAGGAAATATTAAGATTCAATTTAAGAAAGCAGTTAGGTACCTTGGCATCCACGTAGATTGAGGAATGGGTGTATCCACCCACTGCAAATATCTCAGCGAAAAGGTCGGTTCGCTTTTTAGCAAGCTAGGCAGGCAGGCCGGATGTAAATGGGGCCTGCGTTTCGGGGCGCTCTCGGCAATATACCGAGGCGTGTTCGCACGGTGGCATACGCTGCTACTGGGTGGACCGACCTGCGCACCACGGACGACTTGAAAGTGTTCAGGTCCCTTCAGCGCCGAGTGATCATTTCGGTGACCGCCGCGTATCGCGCTGCATAGACTGAGTCGCTTTGTGTGGCTGCGGGCGCGTTTCACGTCGACAACCTTTTCGCGGAATCCCGTGCGCGATTTGAAGTTAGAAAAGAGAGGCATCCTAAAGTCCTAAAATAGGAAATAGGAATGTTCCCTACGCAGGGATCCAAAAGGAGGCGCTAGGCCTCGTGAGGTTTGCGGCAACGGAGATGTGGCAGGACAGATAGTTCTCTTCTGTCCTCTTCTGTCAAAGGTCGCATCACACTTGCCTTCTTCGATGATGTCGGGGCTAGGGTTGGTGTGTCCTGGTTCAAACCCGACCACTGCGTCACGCAGTTGATCACCGGACATGGCAACTTCCAGAGGCGCCTCTTGGATCTGGGAATTGTAGACAGTGGGATGTGTGCTTGCGGGGACGGCGAGGACACTGCGGCACATCACCTCCTCCATTGCCAGCTCTTCGAACCGCAGAGAGAGGCTCTGCCGAAAGTCGTTCCGGTCGGGGCCTGGGAATGGCCGGCGGCAGCACCCTTCTTGGTGTTGTCTCCAGAGGCTTTCTCAGTCTTTGCCGACTTCTGCAAGGAGATTGTATAAAAGGAGATTGTTGGTAGATTTCTGAAGCAATTATGCCGAGGGTTGTCGGAGACCTCGGTAATGGGGGTGTGGCCTCGTAATTTTCGCGAGAGTACCACATACCCGGGTTGTTTAGGCGTTCTTAGCTGGGTTCCTAGGTAGGGTTTAGCATCCAAACTAGGCAGGGTCCCACCCGCTATCCAATGGCTAGCGAGCAGGGTCTTGTGTCTTTGCATACAGTTATATTCCATTTTACATAGAACACCTAATCCTATTACCCGTTCAAAATATCAATAGAGTCAATAGGATCAGAGCGTGTGTCCAGGATCGGGACACAAATGGGCAGGTCTCCCCCGTGGTCCCCGTGGGCCCGGCACGTGCGCAGGCCGCGTGGGGGCTAGTGGTTTACCGCACACCCCGCGCGCGGTTGGATGGTCTTGAGGCGCGTACGGTCACGGCCGAACTGCTCATCCTGCGAAGTACGCCCGCAGACGCTGCTGGATTTTTCCACGCCCGCTCTCTTGTGAGTCGTTGCCAAAACTGTAAAGTTAGAATAGATGATTGGTAGCGTTTAGCCTAATGGCTGAGTTCGCATGTTGTGGCACGTTTCGCGTGTCAGGACAAATACTACTCTGTACAACTACTGATTTCCCTTACATTTGGTGACTCATGCCTATCTTTTGAATCTATTCGATTTTGGTAAATTAATTCAAATGTGGCGGAACAAGCATTGAAGATGCATCCTAGAGCCTCGAAATCACCTGTGACTCCAGAAATCATCATTAAAATCTATGATATGGTTTTGGTCCATAGACGAGTGGAAGTGCGCGAGTTAGCAGAGATTACATGCATCTCAAATGAGCGAGTTCACTGTATTTTGCATAATGAATTGCACATGGAGAAACTTAGCGTAAAATGAATGCCGATTTGCTCACAAAAGACCAAAAATGAATTCGCGTGCGAACATTAGCCAACTGTTTGCAAGTGTTTAAGAAGAATCCAGCAAATTTTTTACGGCATTTTGTGACCATGGTCGAAACATAGATTCACCATTATATCTCGGAAACGAAACAGCAGTTGAAACAAAGGACCTCACGGGGCGGCCAACTCCGTAAAAGGCGAAATGCGTTCTCTTCGCTGGAAAGGTGATGACGTTAATTTTTTGGGATGCGAAAGGAATTCTTTTCAATTAATTGCTTCGAGAAAAGCAGTCAATCAGGAGAATTCCTTTTTTTTCCCAAAAACCATTATAGGAGAATACTATGCATCACTTTTAGATTCAAGACAGCGATTGTGGAAAAACGTCCAGGATTTGCTAAAAAAAGATGTTGTTCCACCATGATAACGCACCGGCGTTTTCAAGCCGTCTCGTTAAACAAAAATTGACCAAACTACGACTTGATTGAAATGCTTCCGCAACCAGCATATTCCACCCGATCTAGCTTACTCAGATTACTATCTGTTCCCGAAACTCAAGATCTTCTTGGCTGGACAGAAATTTAGGTTAAATGAACAGGTCATACAGGAGATAAACAAGTATTTTGAGGTCCTCGAAGAATCCTACTTCCGCGAAGGGATCACGAACCTGAAATAACGTTAAGACATGTACGTTGAACTTCGAGGAGAATAAGTCGAAAAATAAACTACATTACAAAACTCAATGTGTTATCTTTATCAATATTAATATCAAACCAAATTTCTTATCAAACCATCTTCGTATATATTGTGGCGTTGCGGCGCTGCTGCCGCTTTTCCGCACGTCGCAGAAAGCATAATTTTTGCCGCGAACGGGGACACCGGAAAGCGTCGCCTGCCGATCTCTGTAAATGGGCCAAATTAGCGAATTAGTGCTTAATATTAAGACTTTTTTTATTTATGGCGCCTCACCGCCTGCAATATGTGATCGCCATATGTTGACCGTGCCGAGGACTGCTACGGGTGGAAAGCGAGCCAGGATTCGAGAGACTACCGCGCCCGGGAGGAAAACCACGAAACCGACGAACATTCGCAAGCTACGGAGCAGCATTGACCCCACATGGGAACTTTGCCTGGAGCGTCGACTGCTATTGTATCGCAGAGGTACGCGTGTGAGAAGCCGGCCGAAGAAAAGGGCTCAAGGAAACCTTATTGAAAACAGGATAATGCTTCGGGGGACATCGCTATGGACCCCGTAGACAAAAGGGCCTCAGGAAAGGATGCTCCGGTAAAGAAGGATGAATAGCGTAAGATAGCATGCGCTTGACTGCATTTTGCGAGCGCCGCGACGCGCGAAATCCTGTCGCGCGATATTTGTTCCATTCTACTCCGCGTGTTACGTAGAAGGATGGATCACGATCGATATAGGATCAAACAACGATCTTGCATATGCTTTTGCGTGTTGACAGTCGCCACGACCAACCTGGCCAACGTTTACCGGTGTCCAGAGCTGACTCTTAAAGTGTCACGGCGGAATCGTAGGTTTGCATATTTCCGACGATAAAATTTTTTCATATCGTATACGTGTCGCGTGTATATAGCGTTATATACGCGAAAATTTTGCGTTTTTTTTCGCGTGTATTAGGTGTGTTTCATTCGCGTCAGTTTAGTGTTGCTTTCGCGTACATTTTGCGCTCCTTTCGCAAATATTTGGCGTTTATTTCGCGGATAGTTAGCGTTTTGAATTTTTGGTTCGTGTTCGTAATTCGGGGAGTTGCGGATGACGAAATAGTTTTGTGTTTGACTTAAGTCGTCACATTCGCCGGCTGAGAACATTTGGTTTCTTGTCTCTGATTGCGTGTTTCGCACTTTTGTCTCGTATTAACATTCTCGTGAAATGTGTTACTCTCGTGCAAATTTTGCGTTTCGATATTCGCATTCGATGGTGCGCGAGCCGTTCGACCTTGGTGGTGTCGCGTGAGTAAAGCGTACTTTGTTGTCACATCCATTCCGTATTGGTTACGTGCGGAATCAATTGTGTTAGCATAAGAACGACCATCGTTACGGCGCTTATTAAGAATTTGATGTCGCGCCCACGATATAATTCACCTTTCTTGTCTCTTTGGCATTTTCAGTATTAGCGAATGCGAATTTAGAATGATTTTCAGTGTAACACCGACCGCTCAAACGACGTTTTCAAGAATTTGTCCCGTCTCATTACGTATTACATTTCTTTTATTAGGTTGGCAAGGATGAAATTTGTAGTTAATAATATTGCCAAATGTTATAGTTTATTATTTGACATTGGCTTAATATATAACAGTTCTGTTTTTTTGTTGGAAAGTTACATATCCCGCCTGTTTAAAGAAATCATGTAAGCTCTAATAAATATTAAAGCCTTTTTTTTAAATTAATTTTGTTGAAAATGGAACGGTTGGGAATTCGCACTATTATGAAGTATGAGTTCTTACGTGGAATTACGGCATCGCTGACCACGCGAAACATTAATAGTGTATTTGGCTCTAGTGTTAATACGCAGCAGACAGTATCAAATTGGTTAGCCAAATTTCGTACAGGTAACTTTGACCTCACAAATGATCCGTCACCCAGAATCAAAGGTCCATAATGACAAACTAAAGGTCACCGTTGAGTCTTACACATCTCAGAGTGCCTATGAATTATCGTTGAAGTTTGGTGTTAGCAAACAAACAATATTAACTCATTTAGATCAAATCGGTAAAGTGAAAAGTTGGATAAGTGAGTTCCACATGAACTGAATGAAAAACAGAAACAAAAGCGTTTGGAGGTTTGCTTGATGTTGCTTTCTCATCACAAATCTGATCCATTTTTGAATCGAATTGTCACTTGTGATGAGAAATGGATCCAATTTGAAAATCGCAGACTTTTAGCACAGAGGCTGAACAAGGATAAATCACCAGTGTTTGGTGGCCTAGCGCAGGTATGATCCTTTATGATTTCACGAAACCTGGTGCATCGTTCACAGCAAAATATACTGCAACCAACTGGACGAAATGATGCAAAAATTTAAAGAAAAACAGCCTAGATTTTTCAAGAAAATCCACTCCTATCTTATTGCATGATAACGCTAGACCAAATACTGCACAAATGACTGTGGCAAAACTACAGGAATTGGAGTTGGAACTTCTGCATCATCCTCTATACTCACCAGACCTATCCGCCACTAATTATTACTTCTTCCGCAATTTGGAGAACTTTTTAATAAGAAAACAATTTAATTCCGACAATCCCATAAAACCTTCCAGGAATTCATTGACTCTCGTCCACCAGAGTTTTATACCACCGGCCTGAACAACCTGCCGCTTAAATGGCAAAAGTGTATAGACAATATGGGTCTACTTTGATGAATAAAATAATTCCTTAAATTTGTAAGTTATCAATCAACTTTGTTTTTTTCTACAAATTTTATTTTTGACCTGATATTTTCGTTTTGTTGTTAACCCCTCGATTACGGCGGACTATGAGACGCACTGGCCGTACCATACGGCAGGAATTGAGTTACGATGTACGCCGAGAACAGTGAACTTCTAGCTAGGGATACATTTTTGTGATAACATATTTCAATAATCAAAAAACTGAATTTTACTACATTAAGACTATATTATTTATTTTTCTGAACCGAATTACTATAAATATTACAAATTTAATATTAATGTAAAGCTTCTTTTGCAAGATATCTAATAGTCTAATAAAGTGTGATATAATTTGAAACAAGAATAAATACATAATTCTATATCACATTTCTTACATTGGTAATGTGTCTTACTTCTTTTGTTATATTTGCGGCACACTGCACATTTCCACCTTGCGTTTTTTCCGAATTACTGTATTTTTTACGTATGGAGATGGAAAATGCATTTGTATTAAACGAAAAGACTGATTATTAGGATTTCCACCTATTGATTTACATTCATGTTCATTACATAACATTCACTCTAGGAATAAACCAAAAAAATTACTATAAAATTGAAATATAAATTGTAGGATGAGAAGCGATATGGAACGATTCGATGAGGTGAGAATAATTAACACGGTACGAAATGATGTCTTCAGAATTCGTTTATTCATTTCTGCTCCGGACGATGCGAACAACGGAGCGCGTGCCTCCACACCCTCCAGCTTCCCTTGTTTTAAATATTTCGTTAATATTTAAATATTTAAATAGCAGGTGACTAACGAAATATGTACCAGCGAAATTAGCATTCACTCTCGTCTAACTGAGATAAGATTTAATATCGAATAAATATCGATAAAATTCTCAGAGAGCCAAACTGCGTCGAGCGCCTATAGGCGTTTCAGTGTCACAAACGCAAAATTTCTAAGCGCCGATAGGCGCCCACAGTAGCCTAGGGGTTAACTTGATTTCCATGTTGAATAAATGTTTTTTTTGTTTTTATTAACGAATCGCGTATTTTGTGCCTTTTCATTTGGTGTTATCGTATCTATTCTCCCTGCTCGGATACATGCGACCTATTCCCCGAGGAACTTTAGATCCTGCCCTTTCCTGATCGGAATGTTGAGCTAGTGGTGCTCATTGCAAAACAATTTTGGGAAAATTCTTGCGATTATTTGATTTTCGGTGACACTAACAGCATCTGGCGTCCAACTTTGGTCTTTCAATTTAGTTTTTCTTTCACGTAACTCGCGCTCACTTATCGTTGTTTTGCAGTGATTTCTCGCGTTCCGTAATAGGAACAATTTTGCCAGACAATGCCCCGTCCCTGTTCGCCTGGCCTTTTCGTCGTCAGGCCGTGAGCGAACGTCCGGTCAGCGCGCGAAATTCCTTTGCTGGCGTTCTCGTTCATGAACATAGACGCGGCGGTATCGATTCTCTCCGAGACGTTTCATTGCACATTGTCGGTCGCCAAAACTCGGCGCCCAAAGTAAAGAACCTGTGTCGTCTATCGCAATATATTAGGTTGGGGAAAATGAAATCCATTATTTTTACGTGAACTTTAAGACTTCATTTAACATGTTTCGGATTGTCCGATTTGGGTCAAATATGCACCGTTTTGTTTTATAATTTGTTGCCATTTTAAAGGTAGCTTCATAATGCCTCTCTCATAGAAGTCTTGGTCCTTATTGGCGAAAAACTCTAGTAATCGATTTTCACTATCTTCTCTTGATGCCAATTTCTTATCACTAAGGAAGTTTTGCAATGCAAAAAAAAACATGGTAATCGCTTGGTGCCGGACTGTATGATGGATGCATCAAAATTTCCCAACCAAGCTCCCGAAGTTTCTGGCGAGTCACTATAGACATGTGTGGCCTGTCCTGATGGAACACAACACCTCTCCTGTTGGCCAATTCTGGCCGTTTCTGGTCAATCGCTAGCTTCCAACGGTCCACGTGTTGACAGTAGAGATCCGAATTTAGTGTTTGGCCATATGGAAGCAACTCATAATAAATGATTCCTTTCCAGTCCCACCAAATGCACAGCAGAACCTTCCTGGCCGTTAGTCCTGGTTTGGCCACCGTTTGAGCTGCTTCACCGCGCTTTGACCACTATCGTTTTCGCACAATGTTGTCGTATGTGACCCATTTCTCATTCCCAATCACCATCCGTTTAAAAAATGGGTCGATTTTATTCCGTTTGGCCAAGGCTTCGCAGATGGAAATTTGATCCATCATATTTCTTTGTGTTAATTGGTGTAACACCCAAACATCGAGCTTCTTTTTGAATCCAGCTTTGTGCAAATGGTTTAAAACTGTTTTATGGTCGATCTTTAGCTCCTGGGCTATGCTACGACTGCTAACATGCCGGTCGATTATTTCTATGATTTTACCGACATTTTCGACGACAGGCCTATCTGTGAGAGGTGCATCTTTAACATCAAAAATACTAGAACGGAATCGACGAAACCAAAATTGGACGTAATTGGCTGTTACAGTATCGGCACCATAAACACTATTCACAATTACAGCCGCCTGGCTTGCATTTTTGCCTTTATCAAAGAAAAACTATAAAATATACCGAATTTTCTCTTTGTTGATTTCCATTTTTAATACCCTGTAACTCACAACTGAATGGACCAAACAAAAAACAACAAAATTTTTTTAGTACGAAATTTTATCTTTCCAACGAGTATAAATCTGAAATTGTTTGATCGATACTTTACGAGATATCGATCACTACAGCCATCTACCGAAAAAATAATGGATTTCTTTTTCCCCAACCTAATATTTATATATATATATTTAATCAACCACATATATGCTGTTCTGTTCCAGTATTATTTACCATTTTTGAAGAAGCTCCATGATTCCGGATTTCCAAAAATCATCATTTTTCTGAGCAATGAACTATAGAAGATGGTTTTTGCAGGCTTATAAAAATATAAAATTTTTACCGTTTAAAGAATTTTATTGGCTTCGAAGTGGTAATCAGTGGGTGTTGAGTCGGCGGAGAATACGGCGGGTGCGGTAGAACATGCCACCTAAGTTGCAATAATTTTTGCTGAATCAGTAAAGAGACATGATGTTTAGCATTATCCTGATGAAAGATGACATCTTTCCGACTGACCAATTTGGGACACTTTTCATTGATCGTTTCCTTCAAACAGTCTATTTGGGCACAGCATTTGTTCGAGTAAAAGTTTTCGCTTTGTGGAACGAGATAAAAATGAACGAGGCCTTTCCAGTATTACTAAGTACACAGCATGAATTTTTTTGGTTAACGGTACTTCATTTTGTTTGCACTTATTGACGATATTATACGTTTTACGTTATTGTACACAACCTATTTTTCATCGCTTGTAATCATCCGTTTAAAAAATGGTTCGTTTTCGTTGCGTTTGAGAAGCGAATTATAGATGGAAATGCGATCTATAAAATTTTTTTTCATTTAAATCGTGAGGCACCTAAATATCGTAGCGATTCATATAGTCAAATGTATCCGGATGCTGTGCAAAGCTAGTCGAATTAGTTATTAGATATTAGAGGAATATCTCCACGATGTCTCGTGTTTTATAACGTAGATTATTTTCAATTAGTGCTACAATTTCGTCGTTATTTATTATTTACGGTCTATCTGAGCGTTCTTGGTTTTCGACATTAATATCATCACATTTAAAACAAACAAATAACTTTTAAACAGTTTTTTTAGATGTTGCATATCCTCCGTAAACGGCACAAATGTTTGTCGTTGTTCGAACGGTGTTCTTGCCTTCTTGAAAGTAATATAATATATCGAAAATGCATCTTATTTTTCTCCATTTTTGAATTGATATAAAATTAATTCAACTTAATCGATCCAAATATTCTTATTTGTAAACGATGCGTTGAAATGTTACTCTTTCAGAATACGTATATATGTTATAAGTTAAAATTACGTACGACAAAATATATATTTTTTAATGCCATCTGTTGAAAAACCGCACGAATTTTGCGAACAACCCAATATTATGGTTGCAATGTCAGCTACAATTTATACAATTAAAGTGCTTCTATACAGTGCCTTCGAGCCTGCTTGTCATATAATAACATTGAGGTCTTCGTTAGTATTTTAATTAAAGCCGTCTAAATATCGTTCCAACAGACTCTACTAACGAGGGGACGGCTTAACATATTTATTTTGATTAAATTAGGTAACATACTATCGACATGTGCCAAACAATAAGACGTACTACTAAAAAATGAGCGAAAAATCGAAATTGTATATTCTAGAGTTCTACAAGTTCCTTATTGCTTACGCTCCATGCAGAACGTCCAGTAGTTCGGTAGCAGCGTACTAGACTCATAATCCACGGAACGGCAGTTCGTATCCTCTGATGTGTTTATTTTTTTTCTGTTAAATTTGTTTAAATTCGTTTAATTACACTAGCCTACGAAAATTTGCGGATATAATGAGATTAGGTGATTTTTATTAATTTTTGTCTGCTGAATATGAATCTGTTTTCTAAATTTAGCGTCATAATTCCGAAGAAAATGGCGTCAAAGTGACCAAAAATGGCGATTGTGAAGATTTCCATAGTGTTGCGCTTTCGAGACGTCGCGGTAATGTGGGGTTGCCCTGTGCAGTGCGTTGGAGTGGGAGGAGGCAGTGATGAATAAACTATCTTGTTGTAGAAAAAACTCAACTTGTCTTTATTTCGTGTTCGCCCTATACAATACTATGTAGGCGTCCGACAGCGTGTCGGTACCCGAAAATTAAGAATCTAGACTCGCCCTCGCGCCGGTCTCACGTCCCCTTTTATCCTCTTCCTATGTCTCAATCAGAGGGGACGATGTTGATGTGTCAACGTCTTCTGAATGAGGACGCTGACCATCCTGATTTCGATATTTCTATTGCAAGAATGCCAGGTTGCATTTCCGCATCGCGACGTTTGGCAATTCAAGCCGTGGCTCCGTTTATGGTCATCGACATACTTCATTGTTATACTTACAACATTCCCTCCACCCGTTGGAGAGAGAAAACGGACGGACGACGTTTTCGCTTATAATAGTTTTTTTCCGTGTACAATACATTACTACAATCGTTTATTTCTTAATTACCGCATTATTTTTATTTGTTGGTTTCGTTTCGGCGGGGTTCTCTTAATTTACAGCGAGGTATTTTTATCGTTGGTCGTATGTCGCTGTTGCGGCGTTCTATAACAATTGGATTTTTTTTCGTAATATTTTGTAATTTACTTAGTAATAATATTATAACGATGATTACAATTATAATGATTATTCTACTCGGCGCGGTTGAATAGATTAAATATTTATGTTTCTCGAAGAAATTTTGGTTTTCTAGATCTTGCTGTATTTTTGATAATCTGTTTTTTAAATTTGTTAATTCCGCGGGGTTCTGTATTACTTTTTTCAGTGTTAAAGTTTGTGCTGTGTATTTTTTGTTCTGATTTGTTATGTTCTATATTTTGTTACGTATTCGTTTTGTTTAGAAAACGTGAGATTATATTCTGGTATACTTATTTGTATTTCGTTAGTTTCAAAAGTCTCCTGGGTCTGTATTATAGTATCTTCTGTTGTAAGTCTGCATTGCTGTTGGAATTGATTAATTCCAAATTTTTAAATTTTCTCTCGGTATTGCATATTATTTTTACAATGTGTCATTATTGGTTGTGCGCTGTGCGTTGAATACAGCCAAACGTTGCTTCTTATCAATGAAATGATTATAGTGTGGTTTATGTTGACATAATTAATGTTACAATTTTTGAGTGTTTTTTGTGCGGTATACATTTGGAACTCACAGGGAGAATCGGAGTATATGCGATATATTGGAGTGTTGTGAGAACATGTGTACCGATTCCCTAGCTTGATACATTCGTTTAATTCGTTTCTGTTCAAAAGTATATGCTACCTTCTGTATTAACAGCGATTTTTATGTGTATGACGTCTGTCAGTGCGAATATATTATCATGAACATGTATGGGAAGAGGTATTACTTGTACTATTTCGTAAGCTGGGTAAGTTATCAACGGTATCTTTAAAATAGTAAATATATTTCTTTATTTATAATACGCGCTAATTGTTATATATTTGCTTATTTGCAGCCAATTTTCTACTGAAAGGATAATTGGAAAATGGGTGCCTTCAGGTATGTGTATTACTGTTTCCTTACGATTTTTAATTATTTCTTCTACCGGTGTTATTTGTTGTGGCAATTTTCCTTGATTTATGTTAGATAGATCATTATATCTTCCTAATCGCGCATATGATCGGTAATTACGGCATTTAGAATTGTTAAAATGTTCATTTATCTCTTTCCCTTCGATAAATTCCCTTTGTTTTATAGAAAGTTTATTTATGCTACTCATCAGTAAGTCATTGTTTTTTTGTAACGTTTCGTCAAAGGTGCTCATATGTCCTATTGTTTTATTTAAAATTTGTAATTGGTTTGCTAATGTATGTTTTAGAGTCTTCTGGTTATTTTCCAATATACTCAGTTGTTCGTTTATTATCATTTTATAATTCGCGTCCATTAATCCAAAAAAGTTTTCGTTATGAAACCTACACCGTCAATTATTCCTCGTCTTAAATTAGTAGTGCTTTCGCATATATTATTTATACTGTCTGTTGTTTTGCGTATTCGTTCCAGATTTTTTTCTGTAATTTTGCGCAGGTTTTCACATATGTGCGAGGAGCAGCATGTTAGCATTGTCTGACAAAGATATTCTTTTATTTGGTTGTAACGGTGGTTCAAGGATTCAATGTCAAGCTTAATTACCATCTTCCAAGTGGCGGCTACTTGGTGAAGTTGTCCCAGTTTATTAAAGTACAGCCCTGGTGTATTCCGAAATTCTTGAAGTGTAGTACAGGGTTGCTTTTCCTGGAGCTCGCTCGTTGTATATACAGGGTGCGGCGAAAGGTATGCCCTCATTTTGGAGAGCAATCAATAAAATACTATTAAATGTAGAGGATTGGAAATTTTTTTATTACCTTTGGTACTTCAAACAGTTTTTTTACATTAACGTTTAAAAACGATATCTGCAAGATGGCGGCCTCCAGTAGCAATGCACTGATGTAGCCGATTTTGGAAGCTTCGGGCTGCGTTTTGGCACATCTGAATCGGAATGGCGTTCACCTCTTCGATGATTCTCCTTTTCAGTTCTTGTAGGGTATGGGGACGATGCTTGAAGACTTTTTCTTTCAGATACCCCCACAAGAAAAAGTCACAAATGCTCAAATCGGGCGATCTTGCTGGCCACCCCAAATCACCCCTCAGAGAGACGAGTCGAGTAGGGAACATTTGCCTCAGTTTCGCCATAGAAATGCGGGCTGTATGCGCTGTTGCTCCATCTTGTTGAAACCAAATCTCCCCCAGATTTGTCTGTTCACTCAACTCCTGCAATTTAGGCTCAAAAAAGTTTTTCAGCATGAAAACATAACGTTGAGCTGTAACGTTCTCTGGTGTTGTTGCAGTTCTGGGTCTCCCAACTGCATGAGTTCTTACTGTGGATCCGGTTTCTTCCAATGAAGAAACCCAACGTTTGATTGTTTTTCCATCAGGTACGGAAACATGGCGCGGAATATGGAATCGCAAGCGCATTACTCTCTGCGTCGCAATGACTGAACGGCCATTTTCCAAAAAAGAGCGCACAGCGAATCCACGATGTTCTCCAGTCCAAATCATGATGTTAACTGAAAACGGTTGAGAACAACCTTCCTAATGAGACCCTGCCCAACAACCTACTCACGCCATCTGGTGAGCAACGGATTTTTCAAACTCGGGCAAACCTTTCGCCGCACCCTGTATAATGCTACTGAGTATGGTCATCCTGCAAGTAAATAATGGAGGAAGAATGTGAGTTGAATTGTGCCTTCTTCCGATATTTATTCTTCTTTTTTTTGTGTTTAGTTATCAATGTAGTGTTTCAGGCGATTTGCGTGAGTGGTTAAGGTTTTTCGGTCTCTTTTTATTATATAATTAACATCGGAGTGTTCCTTGATTATTTCATATGGTCCTATCCACATGGCGTCGAGTTTCTTTGATCTTACTCGACGTATGGTTTCGTCGTATAATAAGACTTTGTTGCCTACTTGGTATTAGACCCCTCTGGTTTTTTGGTCGTAGTATCGTTTGCTTTTCATTATTTTTTTCTTTTACATGTTTTCTTGCTAGCTGATTAGCTGCGCGTAATCTCTGTTTGAGTTCCTGGGCTTAGTCGTCGAAAGTGTAAGTAGGTTCGGGTGGTAGGTATACGGCAGAAGGTAATGTTGCTTCATGTCCATATAATAGCTCGAATGGAATATAGCTTGTGCTGGTATGCGGGGTCGCATTATATGTAAAAATTGCGTATAGCATCCATTCATCCTAGTCCGTTTGCTTGGTGTTAATGTAATGTCTTATGTATTCTGCCAGTGTTCTACGCAAGTGCTCTAGCGCTCCATTACTTTGCGGATAATACGCGGTTGTTTGTATTTTTTGTATTCTTAATAATTTACAAATGTTTTTAAAAATATTGCTTAAGATGTTCGTTCCTTGATCCGTTAGTATTCTATCAGGGACTCCATATTCCAACATTATTTTTTCTATAAATTCTTTAGCGATGGTAGAGTCTTCTTGATTTAGTATAGGTATCACTTTACTGAATTTGGTTAAGTTATCTTGTAATGTTAGTATGTATTTATTTCCATTTCGTGTTGCTGCCAATGGCCCTACTACGTTTAATGCGCATTTTTCAAATGGTTTGGACGGCGTATCAGTAATTACTAGAAGCATTTTAGTTTTTTGGGGCAATTTGTTTCTTTGGCAGAGTTCGCATTTATTAATGTAATTTTTGATATAGGCCACCATATTTTTCCACTGGTGATTTAGCTGTATTCTGTTTATGGTCCTTTGCACGCCTTGATGCCCTCCTAGAGGTGCATCGTGATATTCATAAAGTATTTGCCTTTACTCTTCCTCGGTATAGTTTCGAGGGTTTCCCGTTTCATCCACGTATTTTTCCTCAGCGCGCTTCTCTCCTTCGCCTTATTCCTCTGCCTCCTCCGGCGCGCCTATCTTTAAGACAGGTTGTATTATATTTCTACTAAGCGCGTCGGCGTTCGTGTTCGCGTGTCCGGCCTTGTGTATGATTTCATAATCGTATTCCTTTAATTTTAGTCGCCGCCTAAATAATCGTGATCCAGGGTCAGTGACGTTAAGGGGAGATATACACCTAGAAGCAGGAAAAAAGATCATTTTTGTGAATTTTTTCAAAGAAAACTATTTGAAATTTCGGATTAGAGTTTTAATTATCTAAAAGTATATACATTAAAAAATATATTTATTTATTTTTAGTTAAAAATAGCAAAAATTTACAAGGATATTGGATGATACTTGAAGCACTGTAAAAACACGGTACCCACTGGCGTTTCTTCAAAAATCATCTGAAAAGAAAAACCAAAAAGATTATTAAAATAGATATTATAATTTAGTACTTGTCATAGGCGATTTTGAAAATATCGATTTATGACAAAATGGCGAACGTCTGAACATAAAAGGTGATTTTTGGGCCAAAAATTAATTATTACTTTGCCTATAAAACAAAAACTAAGTAACGGAAAAAAAAAATCCTATGACAAGTACTAGATAATTGTGTATATAATAACCAAAAAAAACCTCAAGGCAATCGGTTCATTGGTTTTCGAGAAATTTTGAGTACCGATTTAAAAAACGTGGTTTTGAGAAAAACGCGTTTGAAAATTTGGGAATGAATGAAATTTGTCAACTTACATGGAATCATCGATACCAGGCCCATAGTATAGGTCTTCCTCGGTCAACGGAATGTTCATTTTTTCTAAATTTTGTTGTCGGCGCCGTATTCGACCTTCTTTTGTCTGCTCTTGCGCTTGCAGCTCGGTTTTCGCAATGCGAGTTTCGTCTTCTTCTGCAGCGTACAAGTGTGCTCCTGAACCAACTGATATTCCCAACACGTTCATAATTTCCAATAATGAGGTGACACCATTGTTGAACATGCATGTTGCCAAAAATACAGCAATGTTAATGATTTTGGCCCCGTTGTTCCTTCGTTTTTGGAGCTATCTTCCAAATCAGTTGGTTGAAGCTCTCATTGGAGTTTTGGGTATATCCGCCAACACCGCTCGCCAACAGCGTTCTAACAATTTGTCATTGCTGAGGTCTTCGTATATTGGTTTAATGACATCTAACACCTCTTTTGGCAATGCAGCATAATCGTGACGGAAATTTTTCAGTTTATTTGTAGCTTTCGCTTGTTGCCACTTGCACCACGATTCGGGGCCTTCTGTACAGAAATGATGCTGAGGCTTGCTGTCTGTTGAGCTGTAATGGTAGAATGTTGCCCATATCGCTTAATATTTGTTCACTAACGAAAATTCACTAAAACGCACAGTTGCACGAACAACAAGCTACTGAAAACGTGTCTACTTCTGGCAATGAATAACAGCCATCTGATATTTCCGTTATACCTGGAGCCAAGCATGCTACACCTGCCTAGTATGCCCAAAAACACAAACAATTGAATCACAAAATAAATCTACGCCTTTTGTTCGAAGGGTCACTTGCCGTTACCTGCCTGTCGTCTGTCGGCTCGGCGCTGTAAAACATGTTTCACCGTCTCGGCTGTAACTGGCTTATTTATCGAAATACTACTTTACCGTTTTTACCTGATATCCTAATGACCTCAAATTCAAGGAAATACAAAAAAAAAATCGATTTTTTCGACCATCTAGGTGTATATCTCTCCTTAAATAGCCATATCAATAGTTTATGGTCGGTTATTATTTTAAATTTTGTTCCATAAACATATGGGCGAAAATGTTTTACTGCCCGTACTATTGCTAGCAGTTCTTTTTCTGTAGTACTGTAATTTTGTTCTACGCGAGATAGTACGCGACTAGCGTTAGATATAGGGTTGTCTTTTCCTATTTGCCCATGTGACAATATAGCTCTTATCGCGAAATCCAAAGCCTCGTTGGATGATAAATGCTTTGTCGAATTCCGGATAGTTTAGTACGGGAGCGGTTGTCAATTTTTCCTTTAATGTTAAGAACGCATGTTCCCGTTCTTTTCCCCATTAAAATGGTGTTTCCTTTTTTGTTAATTTTGTTAAGGGGCGTGCTATCTTAGAAAAATTTTCTATAAACCGTCGGTTGTATTCCGCTAAGCCTATAAGGAATTGTATATCTTTGAGTTTTTTTGGAACTAGGAACGTGTGTACTGCCTCTAATTTTGATGGGTCGGGTAAAATTCCATTTTCTGAAATTATATGCCCCAGGTACGTAACTTCCTTCCGTAGGAAATTACATTTGTCTGGTTGTAATTGTAAATTACTCTGGCGCAACCTCTTTAATAAAGTGATTAATTTTTTTTATGGTCCTCCAGGCTGGACCCATAGATGACGATGTCGTCTAGATATACCAGGCATTTTATATCTTGTAGTCCTGCTGGTACTCTATTCATTAGCCGCTGAAAGGTAGCTCGTGCGTTTTTTAACCCGAAAGGCATTCAGTTGAATTCGAAATGTCCTGTGGGTGTTGAGAACGCCGTTTCCGCTTATCTTGTTTGCCCATTGGGATTTGATGATAACTTGACGCTATATTTAGTGCTGTGAAATATTTTGCATTTCCAAGTTGGTCTAGGATATCATTTATGTTTGGTAACGGGAAGAAATCTCCAGCTGTTAAATCATTTAATATTCTAAAATCGATGACGACTCGCAATTTGGTTTTTCCGGTCGCGTCGGTTTATTTTGGCACCACTAATAGGGGAGCATTCCATTGGCTTTTGCAGAGACGAACGATATCAGCATCGAGCATTTCTCGCACCTGTCAATCTACTTCTTATTATGATTCTCGGGCAGACGATACGGTCTTATATTCACAGGCGTTACATTACCTCGAGTATCAATTCAATGCTCCACCGCTGTAGTGTGAGTGAGATGGTCTCCTTTGAGGAAGAATATAAGGCTGAAATCCTCACAAATTGTGTGTATTGTTTTTCGCTTTTCACAGTTTAAATGTTGCAGGCGTAATTGTTGCTTTAATTTTTCTAGTCGTGTTTGCACTGTGTATCCCTGTTTCTGTCTCATATTTATTAGATTTATTCCCTTCTCGTTAGCATGCGGCATGTCTTTTAACATTACATACGGGGTGGCTATTTCGACTATTCCTCCGTAGTATTTATGACGATCACCTTACAAGTATAATTGTTTGGTTTTACCAGACAATTTCCAATAAAAACTACAGGTTTTCTCTCTTCAACTGTAAAGATTCCTATTGAATTTATATTTTTGACGGCTTTTATTATTGTTTCATTTCGGGCAGGTCATCGGGCATCTGATATATTCGGTGGGGTAACAAACCTTAATTGTTCCCCAGGATTTTCTTTTCTCTGCCCTGATAGTCGCGTTATGAGCCTGCAGGATATCTATCCCTAATATTCCCTCGTATTCGATGGGGAAATCAGCTTTTACTACTTAGATTTCGTTTTGTAGGATTTGCCTCCCTAGTTTTATGGTTGCTATAAATTTGCCTAGTGTACTTGCCTTATATCCGGTTACTCCGGTCAAGATTACTTCGTCTACAGTCACGGAATTTTCTTCTTTTAAGGTTTGTACGTCTACAAAATTAATTGACGAGCCGGTATCTAATAGGAGCGGAAATGTTCCTCGTCTGGTTTCGTATGTCGGGAGTATTACTAAGTCCAGTCCCCCGTGTGTTTGTTTCGCTTTTTTCACTTCATTGATTTGGAATTCGCGAACACTTTGTGCTTTATTTTCTCATTT